TCTCATGAAGTCCTCTCATGAAGCCTAGTGTGACAATCACATCAGGCGGGCTATCCTACAACTCTCTGAAACCCCCTCCCCCCCTCAAAAAAAACTCTACAGGAAGGGTGATCTAGAAAGTCACCTGTATACAGGTAATTTCCTAGACTTTCTCTTCCACCATGCCTTAGTCCCAAGAACGTCTAAGAGGTAACCCTTCTAGAAAAATAGGCAGTACTGAATAGAACGGGTGTCTGGAAGTGTCATCATCATCTCGGCTTCTACTGGCTTCCTCAGAGGTTCCCTGCCGTAGGCAGCGAGAGAGCTTGGACTGCCCATTAAAGAGACAGATTTTTGCCCTTCTTTATCAGCATGAGTTGTTTCACATACAGTACTTGCCTTCTTAGGCAGAAGCTTTCTTTATCAGCATGAGTTGTTTCACATACTTGCATTCTTAGGCAGAAGCTTGTGTGAGTGACCCTGAATAACAGCTGTGTAAGATAACATCCATAAAGAGGAGACCTTTCTCCTAATATGTCATAACTAAACTACTGGAGCTGCGTACAGACCAAAAAAGGGGAAAAAATCTAATATAGACCTCAGATCCACATATAAATGACAATGGCTAGTAGACTGGATTGTTATTCTCATTGTGAACAATGTACTATAAAGTTTTCAGAGATAACCAGTATGATTCTCATTGTGAACAATGTATAAAGTTTTCAGAGATAACCAGTATGGCACAGTGGAAAGAGTGATGGACTAGGACTCAGGAGACTAGGATTTGAATCCCAGCTCAGTCATGAAAACTCACTGGGGGAGTGGAACTTAAATATCTCACTTACTTTGAAAGCCCTGTTATAAGTCAGTTCCAACTTAACAGCACAGATGAACAAGTAATGCAATGTATAAATATAAATTTAGTAATATGTAATAGTAAAAAAAAAAAAAGCTTTCCTCTTTTGATTTACTTTTTTCAGCCCCTGAAGAAGGCCAGAAATTCAGCCCAAAACTCGTTGGGCAATTTTAAATTGAAATGTATTTCTTCAAATCCTGAGATTGAAGTTTAAGATTTGTTGTTATTCCATTATTGTAAGAGGCCAAGTGTTCAAAATCTCAATCACAAAACTATGGAAAATTGCATTGCAATTAAGCAGAAGAGGAGGAGGAGGAAGAGGGAGATGTACTTTAGGTTTCCACTTTTAAAAACATCCGCTAAAGCTTCAGCAAGTCTTCTACCCTGCAGGAAAAGCCGAAAAATGTCAATGGAAAACGTCACTTCACAAGGAGAAGCTACTGCAGCAACTACGTTCCGACGGCCACAACAGAGAATGATGGGGTAGAAGTACAATGCTGTGGAAGAGATCCAGTCATTCTACAAGGGAAGGTTATAGACATACGTAGAACAGCAAAAATGGAGGGAGCATATGCGGAAAAATGTCATAGAGTAGGTCTGCCAATGACTATAATTAAAGATATTTTAAACTTTTAAATACTTTAAAGGCTGTCACACAGAGGAGGGGCAGGATCTGTTCTCGATCACCCCAGAGTGCAGGACACGCAACAATGCACTCAAGTTACAGGAAGCCAGATTTCAGTTGAATATGAGGAAAAGCTTCCTAATTGTTAGAGCAGTAAGACAATGGAATCAATTACCTCACAAGGCAGCCAGTACTCCAACCCTGGAGGCATTCAAGAGAAATGTAGACAACCACCTGGCAGATATCCTTTGATTTGTATTCCTGCCTATGGAAGGGGATTGCTCTCGATGGCCATATAGGCCCCTTCCAACTTCATTATTCTATGATTCTATAATTCTAAACATACTGGCAGAATTATAAATTGGAGATCAGAAAACCCCACAGTTTTTTGGGATCTTTACTAGCTCACAATACCCATTTGTGCACATGCTGTTATATCTAAAGTACTGTGTTATCCCTGAAAAAGTACCTTTTGAAGATAGCAAGAAACCCAAGAGCCTTTGGTTTCAGGCAATAAGCAACACCCTGCTTGTTTGCCTCAACATTCTCCTCAGTGCTTTTCTGTAGATTACAGAGTCTTTCCAAGGGAAAAAAGTTGAGATTTTATTCCAATTTGTTGGTTTAATCTTCCTGTGTATACCATGAAAACGGTGATTTATATATAGCTGCATACATCATAAAAACAGAGTTCATTCCAAATTCATCCCAAAATTTGGAAACTCAGCGCTTCCAAATTTTTTAATTAAACACAGTTAATATTAGGGCAATGCACTTTAAAACAGATGCTTTTCTAGGCAACAATGAAAAAGCCAACCTCTTCTGGAAATAAAACCAGAGACCTGGACTGGGTTTAATATATGCAGTGCCAGTCTGAGCTTTGCGCAGACTACAAGCTGCAGATAAGATTTAAAAACAGCAGCAGCAACAACAACCCAAAACTTTCACTCTTTGCTCCATACTTTTCCAGACCCTAAGCATTTTCTAGTTTGCTCCATACTTTTCCAGACCCTAAGCACTTTCTAGTTAAAAGGTAAAGGTTCCCCTTGACAATTTTTGTCCAGTCGTGTTCGACTCTAGGGGGCGGTGCTCATCCCCGTTTCCAAGCCATAGAGCCAGCGTTTTGTCCGAAGACAATCTTCCGTGGTCACATGGCCAGTGCGACTTAGACACGGAACACTGTTACCTTCCCACCAAGGTGGTCCCTATTGATCTACTTGCATTTGCATGCTTTCGAACCGCTAGGTTGGCGGGAGCTGGGACAAGCGACGGGAGCTCACTCCGTCGCATGGATTCGATCTTACGACTGCTTGGTCTTCTGACCCTGCAACACAGGCTTCTGCGGTTTAGCCCACAGCACTACCACGTCCCCTCTTTCTAGTTAGGTCAGCATAAGCACAGGCGTGGGCTGTTATAACAAGCACAGAATATGTTGGTGTTTTGATCTAAATTAGTGAATTGAACTATCACAAGTATGTTCTTGTTGGTTAGCAATAAGCTATGAGGAATTTAGTGGGAAGGATGCTGAGATGAGGAACAGAGCAATTTAGAGCAGCTGTACATTGAATCCTTTACAGGAAGATAACTCAGAATTATAATTAAGGCATCCCTCACTGTGGGGTAGGGTAGCTGTGGCTGGAACATGTTTAGAAGAGGTTGACAGCTGAGGTGGGCGCCTTTACAAAATATGGGCCAGTGCTTCCAGACGTTGTTGACCTGGCCAGGATAGCTATTCGTGTGGAATTTCAGGGGAGCCTGGAGGAACTGCAGTCGAAAAACTTCTGGAGGGCTTCACTTTGCCTACCTTTATTTATGGAAAACCTCCTGTTGCAGAGGACCGTGTAGGACCGAGTAACTGTGGAGCTGTGGATAAATTGTCCTTATAATATTAAGTCTCTTCTCAGTTTCTGCTGTTGCAACAGCTTCCCTTCCTAGAGAGCATAGATTTATGCACATGAAGGATGCCCTAATTTATTCTCAGTTGTAGTCCCATAATGGATTCAATGTACAGCTGCTCTAAAAAAAGGTTGGAAGCTATAGCTAGTGGAAAATGTGGCAGGCAGACTTGCTTAATGTTCACTGTAGAGACCATGTATCGTGGGCCGAGTATACCAGATTCCAATTTATTTCCAAACTCAATTCAGGATATAGATTTTGACCTATAAATCCAGGATAACTGAAAAGCCGATTCCTTCCATGTGAACTTGAGTAGTAGCTTGCCATAAGGACAAGCCAAAGGATTCAGTTAAATCTAGAGATGGGCATGAACCTTGGTTTAAAGATTCATGCTGAATTGTCAGACTGGCACCAGGGGTGCTGTGTGTTCCCTTCCCCACCCCTGGATCCCCCACTCACCAGCCAGCGCGCACTGCTTTTCTTGTTCTCTTTGGGTGTTTGGCTAGTCCCGGCAGGAGCAGGTGCTTCCCTCCGCCACCTCCTCTGGCAGCCACCCACTCAAAGGGAGATCTGCAGGAATCCCTGCCCTGCCATTGGAGTGTGCAGCTGCCAGAGGAGGCAGAGGAAGGAAGCATACAGGACTGGTCGATCACCCGAAGGAGAGGAGAAGAACAATGTGGGCTGGCTGGTGCGTGGGGAATCCAGCTGGGGTGGGTGGGGGAAAGGAACGTGTGGTCCCTGTGGTGCCAGTCCAACAATCTGGCACAAATGTCTGAAGTGAGGTTCGTGCCCATCTCTAGTTATATCAATCTGCAGCAACACAAGTAAACAGCACTTGTTGTTCATATTACTGATTGACGGTATCTAGAACAGATATTATCATGTGATGGTCAGTAGGAGTGGGATTTTCTAAATCAAAGACCCAAAAACATGAAAGAGGCTCTCATTCAAAACATTCACATTCATTCAAATTCTCATTCAGAAAAAAGTCAGGCTGTTTTGGCGATTGCCAAAGGAGAGCATCTAAGTGTTTTCATGTGTCTTTCACGTTTCCACTTTCATTTAAACATTCAGCCCTCTTTTACCCTTTGCTGTCAAATTGCCTGAGATTTTCATCCAATACTGTTACAGGCAACCAATCAGAATGTGTGTATGGGGGGGGGGGAGAAGCAGGAACTGTGAATTTTTCAAAGGGCCTCAAACTTAAGGGAGGGCTTTTTGCTTCCGTTGTTCCTTATGGGACCTGCGTTCTGAGCTCCTACTGCCCTCCTGCTTCTGCGCCTTTTCCTTTTTGACCTTTTGGTCTTGATTTCGTTTTTTTTTTTGGGTGGGTGGGGGAACTTCTGCACCTGACATTTATTTAGATTATTTTTGCTGCTGCCAGACAGCCACCGTCAATTTCTTTAGGGATTTCCCTCCTCTTCCCCTCATTCCTTTCCTTTCTTGGATTCTTTTTTGCTGCTGCTGGGCCTGCCTGCTGCCGCCTGCTGACTCAAAGAGGAGAAGGCATCGCAGGTGGGGGGTGGGAGGGGACATCTCCCCATATTCTATTAGTTTTTCTTTGCAGGGTGGAGGTTGTATTTTTCATTTTGCTGTTTTTCTCTTGTGCCTGTGCATATGTGGGGTACTTTGACTGACTGATGCCTGTGCATATGTGGGGTACTTTGACTGTTTGACTGATTTTTTTAAAAAAAACATTTTATTTGGTTAATTTATTGTGCATTTATTCTGTTAACAATGTATATTTTGGTGACTTTTTGGAAGTGCTATATACAGTGCACTAGTGGTTGGGAAGGGAGGAATTTAGCCTGCTAGTTCCAAGCAAGTCAATGAGCGTGCTGTAATCTTTATTAGAAATGAATTAATGATAATGGTGGTGATGAATGTGATAATATAAACTACACAGGTCTGATGGTTTTTCTTTCTTGTGTAATGTTTCCTCCTTTTGGAGTAGATTGATTCTCTGCTGCCTCGCTTCTGCTTTTTGGACTAGTTTTTAAGGCTCCTTTACAACTTTTGGAGTGCCATACAACATGAATGGAAAAGCAACAAAGAGGGAACCCAAAAATGCTTCCCTTTGGTGCAAAATGAAAGGCCAAGTGCAGCAAAAAAATAGAAAATAAGGCACCCCTGATGGAACCCAAAGTGAAAAAAATACTCAGATTTTCCCTTTCCAAATCCTTAACAGTCAATGATATTATCAATGCTGCTGTTAGTGATTCACAGGCTTTGGCCAATTAGGCTTGTTCAGAGATATTTAGCCTTCCAACCCAGAAGCAGTTATTTGTTCCATTGTTCTAGTCATGGAGACAAGTGGACCCTGGGAAAACTGGGTCTATCCTGAGGTAATGTGGGCAAGAAAATAAAAGAGCTTCTTGGGTGAGATTAACTGTTTAGACAGAGAGATAAGGTCTTTCATTTTGGCCAGAGAGGGAATTTCCCACCAAATTATGGGACAAGGAGTTCATTTTTTCTGAAAGTCTCATCCCTCATTTTCTTGCTAGAGGCTCATAAGGATTCCTTGGATGTTAAAATCAAATGAGGACATGATACCCTTGGATCATGCATGCGGACCAAGGGCCTAGCAATGCTGCAACACTTTTTACTAATGTTTTACAGCTGGGCCAGAGGGCTGTAGAGTTGCAAAAAAAACCCCCCTGATTTTCAGGCACTGACAGGTATAGATTTAAGAGATAGTTGGTTGTCTAATGACCTGCCATCCCATAGATTTAGAGGGACTGAAAGATACCATATGTTGGTTTAGGACATGCTGGTTCTTTTCTTCTCCTGGCACTCTGGGCTTAACCAGAAGAGTCTGTGGTCATTTTCTGTTTTGGTCAACACTGCAGGAAGGCTTTTTATAATCTGGAATACTGAACAAGATGGCGGCCAATTTCTGAGACATTTCTGCATCCTAAATGAAATGAAAACAGGAAAACTGTGAAAAGCCAAAGACAACAAATAGTGAGCACATTGAGCAAAGATTTAGGCAGTATGGATTGAGTTCCTCATTACAAGCAAGTAGATTGATTTCAATGCTCATTTTAAACAGGGAAATAGATAATTTTTGCCAAATTTCGAAAGGCACCCTCAAAATATGAACAATCATGGATTTCCTTTTTCTTCTGTAAACATGAAAAATCATATACATTTAGCCCATGGATTTGAAATTTGTGATAATAAATATTTTTTATGTACCTTGGTTCCCCGAAAATAAGACCTAATCTGAAAATAAGCCCTAGTATGATTTTTTTGGGATGCTCATAGTATAAGCGCTACCCCCCCAAAACAAGCCCCACTTAAGTGAAACGCCGCCCTCCACCCTTGTGCAGCAACCAGAAGAAGATGACATGATTGTATTTGAATACATGTAGATTGTTGTACATGAAAAAAAGAATCCCCTGAAAATAAGCCCTAATGTGTTTTTTGGAGCAAAAATTAATATAAGAACCTGCCTTGTTTTCAGGGAAACATGGTAGATGTTACTAACTGTTACAAATTTAAGGAGAACTCTAGGAATAAACCTGCTTTTTTAAAAAAAAAAATCAAGGAATGAAATGGAATGCAGCTAAGTCAAAGAGGACTATTTATCCAGAATCCCATAATAACAAAATTAGGTTGTAAGCATGAATGAGAAGTTTGGAAGGCATTCTTGAGATGTTTTTAAACTCTAAACTGTAAATTCATTCCTACAACAAAGTTACAGAAACTTTTGCTTCAAACGTTGAATAATAACAGGTGTGGTGCCAGTAATAGAACTTGTTTCTTTATGTATTTCTTTAAAAATATTTAAAATGCTATTAAAAGAATTGATCGTGGTGGCTTACAATCAAATAAATAATTTAATGCCCACAATGACATTCAAAAATAGATTACAGTAACAGAGATAACTTTCTCTTGGTTTCCTATATTTTCTCAACATGGCAACAATAACTTCCTATACATATAAGAAATGCAAAAAATGGACTTTAAAAATTTAGGAAATTGTCCTGACAAAGGTTGTGTCAATCTTCCTTCTTCATTTTACACTAAATAAATATGACAATTCCCTGGGATCCTAATTTTTTTCCCCACAGAAATATGTACATAGCCCTCCGGGCCTGGAGTCATGGGTTTACCTGATGGCTGGCAGCATGGGGGCTCTTCAAAATTCCCAGAATGCTCACATGCACAGTATCATTTAGAAGCCTTATACAAAAGTAAATAGTAGAGGTAACCTATCATGGAAGGACCTTTGTTGACTTCAAGGACCTCTTCTTCCTTCTCATCCCACAGTCTCAACTCATCTTCTCCTGCCCCTCCCCTCCCCTCCCCTGCTAGGTATTTTTTTAAGCCATAAGGACAAGCAACCACCTCAGGGTAACTGATGTTAATACAGTGGTGCCCCGCTCGACGATGATAATCCGTTCCAGGAAAATTGCTGTTAAGCGAAATCGTCATCAAGCAAAAACACCCCATTAAAATGCATTGAAAACCAGTCAATGCGTTCCAATGGGGGAAATACCTCATCGTCCAGCGAAGATCGCCCATAGAGAACTGCCGATCAGCTGTTTAAAATCACTGTAATGTGAAGCTTCTCTCCAGAAAACAGCCATTTTGCGAAGGGAGGGAAGCCATTTTGCAGAGCTGGAAAAATCATCGTTAAGCAAACAAATGGTTCACAAAGCAGGCTCCTAATAGACGTGAAGCGAAAAAACCCCACTGGAGCCATCGTTTTGCGATTGCAATAGCGATCGCAAAAAAACTCATTGTCAAGCGATTTCGACGTCATGCGGGGTAAGCGTCAAGCAGGGCACCACTCTAACTGGCCCTCACACACAAACCCTGCTGCGATAAATGAGAATTGTGGGGAAGGAGCACTGAGCTTCTGCACATTCGTCATTCCCTTCAGTGGGCCTGTCACACACCTCTAGTTGCCTAGAAGTGCTTCAGGGTTCTCCTATCTGACTTATTTTGGACCTTGCATTTTTAGCATGGAAACTGGCAGCTGATATTTCCATTCGTTATGTCCCTTGGTGCCACCCCCCCTTTTTTGGGGGGCAATTCTAGGATCAGAAGGCTGTTTTATAGAAATAAAGTGTACTATAGGAGCTGCCAATAAAACAGAGAAAAAAGTATGGCAGTTTTATTGTGGCCTGGAGACGTCTTTACCTGCAAGAGCCATTGACAGGCGAAATTCGTCTTTCAGAATCTTCAACAGCTGCTGAAGCCCTTCTTCACCCTGCTCCAAAAGGGCAAGATTGTAAATGAAGTTGTAAAATCATGCTAAAAGAGTTGGAAAGCAGGTCAACCAGGATTCTTTCCCATGGCACATGTGGTTCTTTGACCAGCACTTCTCTGATCAGACTCTTGTCTCCAATCAAACAGGCTTGCCAGTTTTTGAAGCACCACCGGGCTGAGCAAAACAATTAGGAGGTGAGTATGGAGGGAAAGATCCCCTGTGTCCTGGCATCAGGGCAGACAGAAAGGTATGGGGAAAAAAGAGAGGGAGCAAATGCATCCTAAGTGGTGACCCACAGCTGTGGATCCATCAAAGTCATTTATGTATACTAACCATACCACTAGCAGTCAAAACAGGCATGCATAATAAAACAGGCACAAGATAATGTAAAAATCAGAGGATACAAATAGGAGAGCAACCTTTACAAGCACGCTTCATAACCATAACAAGCTTTAACTGCACACTCCTGGTCAATGCTGAAACCTGAGAGCATCCAGTCCTGCATTTTAGCCAATACAGGAGTTCCCATGCTTCTCACATTTTACTAAGCCACCAAAGTTAGTCTATGTTTGAGAACAGCTTGCCAACTTTCCACTTTCCCCCACTTTTTGTTATTTTTTTCCCCACAATTCTCAACCATGGGAAACAAATGTGTATAGCCCTTATTTCTTTTTATGACGGGAAAAATAAAAAATGCAGTAAAAATACAGAAAAATGCTGTAGCACAGGAGAGACGAATACAACCCCCTTCTGGTTTTCCCACACACACAAGCTACAGTAAGGCAAGGAATGGTCTTCCCGATACCTTTGGCCTACAATGCACATCACTTATAGCCAGCATAGCCAATGGTGAGAGGTTATAGGACTTGCAGCAGTTCAGCAACAGTTAAAGGGACACAGTTGCCTTCCCTTCTAGCCTAGAACTCATGATATGGCCAATGGATTTCTCTCAAAAACGAAAGAGCTTTCATAAGTAACAGCCTGTTTGATCCAAAATGAGGTGCAGGCTGAGAAAGTTGCATGAGTTATAATATGAATATTTGCTATTATCATGTGCCCTCAAGTTGGTTCTGATCGATGTCACCCCTGTGAATTAGGGACCTCCAAAAGCCCCTATAGTTTTGATCAGCTCTTGAAAACTCAAGCCCATGGCTTCCTTTATTGAGTCAATCTACCTCTTATAGGGTCTTCCTCTTCTCCTATTGCCTTCCACTTTCCCCACCAGCAAGCCTCGTCTTGATCCCCAAAGTACACTAACCTCACTTTAGTCCTTTTCGCTTCTAATGAAGGTTCAAGTTTGTTTTGATCTAGCGTCCACTTATTTGTCTTTCTTGGCTGTCCATGGCATCTGTAAAACACATTTGTAATTCAAATGAATTACTTCCCTCCCACTGCTTTCTTCACTGGGCAGCCTTCATATTTGTATGTAGCAATAAAACATTGTAGTACAGGTGATCTTTGCATGGTCGCCAGCCATGCGTATTTACAACAATGCTTATTAAATAAATCATTTTAGCACACTCACATTTACACGAAGCATGCAGACAACACAAAACTGAACGGGAGGTAAGATTTAACAGGTGCAAATGTAGGAATGAAAAAGCAAATCTGATTTTGTCACTTTTGATTTTCCGCTCACCACCCCCTCACTGGCACTGAAACACACGGACCCTATATTTCCTCACCTTATAGGCCAGACCCCAGAGGGCAGGCCTTCCGATGAAGACACATTTTGCTCCAAGTGCCAGTGCTTTCAGGATGTCAGTTCCCGTTCGTATCCCACCATCCACGTAAACTTCAGCTTTATCTTGCACTGCAGCCCTAACTTCCACCAGAGCATCAATCTGCAAAGAGACAACCGATGAGAAATTGGCCTGTGGAAAGAGCAGCAGGAAGGTGGGCGAAGCCAAAGATGTGCTTTCTAACATTTCACAAAAGCATTAGTCGCAGATCACTTTCCAAGCGGCAGCACAGCACGACAGGGTCTACGCCACAATGGCATGCTACAGACATTTGCTCAGGAAGAGCTTCTTGTGCCATTACTTAAAAGTCAAGAAGAGAGTGTGCGCGCACGTGTACATGCATGTATAGACAGATCAACAGACAACCTACAGCAAAAATAGTTGTCTTATAACAGCTGGCCAGTTGTGGTCCTCCACATGTTGTTGAACTGTACCTCCAATGCTCCTTCACCACTGGTTGTACTCTTTTAAAAGAGCAGACAAACACCACCAGTTTTCTCCTTATTTACTGTATGAAAGATTGCTGGAAGTTGCTTGTGCAGTCAAGCACAGAAATGCTCCTACCGTGCAACATCAGGGATAGGTTACATATTTAAAACATGATCATGTCTTGGCAACTGTGAGGAGGGGAGAACAGAATGTGTTGTATTTATGAACATATCTGTTAGACAAATTACCAAAGATGTAGCTGTGTTAGTTGGTCTCAACTTGTTGGCAAAGTACAGGAGAAAAACAAAACAAAACAAAACAAAAAAGGGGGGCGGGAAATGGTAAAATGCATTTTTCTGTTTCCCTTTTATGTTTGTCAATGCATTTGAGGAAGACATCGAAAGGGAAGCTTCTTGTCTTCCTTTGTGTTGGCTTTGGGAATATATTCAGCATGTGGACAAAATGTACCTCTCCCCTTCTCAGCCTTTAGGCAAGATATTCCTAAATAAACATGGGATAATTGAAAGGTCCTGTTGCTAGAAATATACCTGGTAATGTTCCCTGCAGCCTGTGTAGCTTTGAACTCTAATTTGGGAACATGAAACTTGTGTCTTCCCTTCCTGTTGCACAGACCCAGGCCCCTCCTTGCTAGCTTCCATTTCTACTTTTTCCTCCTCCTTCTGCATTCATCCATTGTTTGCCCATTCACATCTGTGTACACACAAATGTCTAACCCAGCCAGGTGGAGACTGACTTCCTGCACACATTCACATGATGATAGGACTCTGCCCCATCACTTACCGCTGCAGGCACCCCATCCAGCTGTCGCCCTCCATGGTTGGATACAATAATCCCTTTCACTCCATGTCTCACTGCCAGTTCTGCATCTTCCTTGGTCAGAATTCCCTTTACAATGATGGGCAAGCATGTCACGCTCTGTAGCCAGGAGATATCTTCCCAAGTGACAGAAGGATCTATGGAGTTGGGAGGCACCCCATACTCTGTATGGTCTTCACCCTGAAGTAGAGGAAGAGACAGAGACTTCACTGCTGCCCTTGCTGTCAGTACACCTACCTAATATTTCCCTGTCCTGCTCACCCAGAATTGAGCAATTTCTGGTCCTCTGGATATCAAACTGCACATCTCGTCAACCCTCAGCTTTGATAGCTTTGGAAATGTCATTTCTGTTACGGGATTCCAGTATACCTATGTTGCTCTTTGTTGGCATATTTCTGTGCGTGATTTATGAGTTAATTGGGAGACTAATCCTGTCTCTTTTTCTTTTGGCCTTGGATCCTGATGTATTACTGAAAATTCTCAGTCATGAGAAACTATCAGAAGCATAATACTGTACAATATAATGAATACATAATAATAAAAGTTAAAAAGAATGGTGAAGTATCATTGAAGATTGTTAATGCATTAGCTAAACGGGGAAGATTTTCATGGTGGGACATCTTTCAAGGGAGTCTGGAGTTATGTCACCCTGTGGGGTCATGGTCAGGATTCACATGGGGAGGAAATGCTCATAAACATATCTTGCTTAATCGTTCCAGCTTCACCTTGCCCTAAAAGCAGACAAGCTATATGTGAGCCAGCTGCAGCTGGCTGGCAGAGTGGTCAGCTTCCTATGGCAGGAGGAATGTTCACCTGGGCCCATGGAGAAGGGGAGGGGCCAGACATACCTCTCAGAGGGGGAAAGTGCTCTGGTGGGGCTAGAAAGAGGAGGGGAAGACAGAGCACGTGGACACCACAGAGACTGTGGTCTTAGCTCCCATCCGCCGTTCCCAGGACTAAGGCCAGAGGCTTGAGGAAGGAGCCTGGCCAGCATTAGAACTGAGAGTTTGAAGGGGGCTGAGCCTGCAGGGACATTCATTTCTGTTTCTTCCCTCTGCAAGCCAGAGGGACATATGGACTGGAGGGGCAGCCGACCTCCAGAGGGTAGCCCTGGACTAGGTTCTGCTATTGCCCAGAGGGGCTTGGTGCTGCAAGGAACCCCAGCACCCCCACAACCCACCGGGGCCAACTCTGCAAGAAGGCGTGTTTTATGCATCATCTTTCCACCTTTCTTTGTTCCCAATAAAGTCCTAATTCTATCACAACTTTCTGCCTCGTCATGGAGGGAGCATCGGGGGCCACTCACACTGTATCTTAGTGATTTGTCAGGAGGAACTCCATTTGAGAGGTTCTAAAGGTAGTGATCGGATGCTGCCTTGAGTCCCAGACCAACTTTCACCTAGGCTGGTTCGAAGCTGCCCAGGAAAGTACTCCTTCTCTAAGCCATCTGAGAAACAGTCACTTGAGGCCAGAATGAAAAGGTAGAGAAATTGGCAACCTTTAAAACACACTGCTTCATACTCTCTCTCTCTCTCTCTCTCTCTCTCCAGATGTTCTTAGACTACAGCTCCCAGAAGCCTTCACCACCACCTCTGCTGGCCAGGAATTCTGGGAGCTGAAGTCCAAGAACATCTGGAGGGCCAAGGTTGGACACCACTGGACTAGAGGATGGTTGAGTCTATTGAGCTCAACTTCCCTCAGATTCTTATTTTTCTAAATATAATTCCATTTAAAACACTATTCTAAATACTTACTCTGAATAACGTAATGTATGTTGTCATGTTCTGTCTGAGGTCTGGCTCATGTTGCATTTTTAATTTTTTTTGTCTCCATGAAAACCTGTGTAGGTTTCTTACTCACATATTAAAAAAAACTATTGAAAAGATCAGAAGTGCATATATATCAATGGCAAGTTGTGTTCTGCCTCATTTTTAGGTTTGGGGAGTGCGCATTTAGCAAATTTGCACTGAAATGTTTAAAAATCAATTTCTCATGTACAGTATCTGTATAAGGACTTTGATTTTCTTCTTTTTGCCTGCTCTCTAGTGGACACACCAAGTGTGCAGTACTATTTATAGTTAAGAAAGTTTCTTATTAGTTTGAATTGCAGAGCCCTTTCCTGACATTTCTCACAAAGGTCTGGGAATCTACTATTTATCTTTCGTTCATGTTCTGTCATTAAAGCTGAACATCACCATCTTAATGATCCAATTTAATATATGTGACATTTTTGAAACAAACAAACAAACCATCTCATCCTCTCCAAATTTGCCTGTTTTGTTCCCTGGCCTTTTGTAGACTCCTGACCCTGCTCTAAAAGATATTCGATAGTTTGCTCTCTCAGATCCTGCCAAGACTTACCAACACAGGTTTCCTGAGGGCTTGACTACATGGCTGGGTTGAGGCAGGTTGGAGCAGGCTGAATAAGCTTGCTAGGAGGTCAGGGATTGCCATTTGGTACAATCCTCACATCCAAATGCCATCCGGAACTGAAGTGACCCTATTTAGTCTGCTTTTTAAAAATGTTAGATATGTGTATTCTGAATAGAGATGGGCACAGATTAAAAAATGGATTGCCAATTTCATTCAAAAATTCATCGATTCGTATTCATATTATCTTAAAGGTCTGGTTGAGAGCCTGCCACAACCTAATGTTGTATCAAAGTAGAAGCTCCGGACAGTGTCCAGAAAGGAACAGGTGCAACCACTCTGGGGGCAGGTTGGTTCGCTACGGCAAAGATGTCGTCTTATTGCCATCTTTCAGAATGAACCAGCTTGTCACTGAAGCAGACTGAATATCAGGCTAAATGCCCATGTAGTCAGCCTCTGAGTCCCTTGCCCTAAGCTGACTTCCTATCAAACTGTCACCAGTGCTGGAAACCATCCATAAGCCTTAGTTCTGGTTCTACCACAAGGGGAGTGGTTTGAAGATGGACCTCAAGCATTGCCTGGGGACAGCCTGCAGAGTCCAGAATGGATTCTGAAAGAAAGATGGAGCTCAGTGCCATCAGCACAATGGCTCCAAGGGAAGGCACGAAGCATAGTTTATGAAAAGACAAACCCCAGATATAGCCATTGCTTAGCCCTCTTGAAACCTCTTGCACTAGGGGGATCAGAATGAATTTGCAAAGTTCGAAAGCTGGGAGGACAACAATAAAAAATAAGCCTGGTTTTACTTAAACCATAGTTTGCCTGTTGTAAATTTGAGCAGCTCAACCTATTTCTTTGGCTCTGCATTCCTCCATCCTTCTCTCACAAGCTTTCACGTGAAATACTGTTAAGAGTTTACAGACCTCAAAGAAACCTTCCAAGTTCTTCAATTTAACAGAAGACAAGAACTGGAAGTTGTTGCGGATGTCGTCCCGCCTCTTCCCAGTGTACGGCAGATCAGCTGTGAGCACCAAGGCCTGGAAGCCCAAGGACTCTGCCTTTCGCACCAGCTGCTCAGCGATGGTCCTGTTCCGGTGAATGTAGAGTTGAAACCATCGGAAGCCAGCAGGAGCAGCAGCAGCGATTTCTTCCATAGAGCAAGTGGAGTAAGTGCTGGCAATGTAGCAGATATTCATAGCTTTCGCTGCTTCAGAAAAATATGAAGAGGCAGTTTGAGCCAAGGGTACTAGTATAAGTCTGTCTTCGACTTGTTGCAGTTCATGCCCTAAGCATAAAAAATGCCCGAACTGCTTGCTGAAATGGAGGTATCCTTGTGTCCTTCTATTGGGATGCTCTCTCAGTGAAGATGACACATCTCTTAGCCATGCTCCTGGCTGATATAACCATTACCTCAGTCTTCAGAGCATGCCTCTTTATTTAGACAAAGATGGGGAACCAACATGGCCATGGCTTCTGCTTCTATGGCTCATTCAAATAGAAGTTGGGCCCTTTAAGACCGGGCTGACCATGGCTTGGCTAGGGAGAGGTAATGGCCAGCCCCCAACATGTCCTATTTTCCCCTTCACATATTCAGTATTCATTCTGGAAGGAAACATGCAACTTCCCTTTCTGTTCTTGTTCCCATAAAAGGCTTATTCTCTGCACCACGGAAAATGCAACAAATAGACATAATACATAGTTAGGTCTGTCCCACTCTATGGATCATCTCCTTACATTGAGAACAAGCTGGGGTTGAGACTTTTCATGGGGACTTGAGTCTCTTTGACTCCCTTGCCTTGCCAAAACAGCTCTGCTTAACCATGAATAAGACTGTGCCCAAACGTATCACATGCCTGACCCAATTGTGGAAGGAATGTCAGAAGTTATGTGATCAGGATTTTGCAATTCCCATATCCAAATGTGTTCTCCTGCTCCAAAAGGCAGGAGAAGCCCACTTCTGGAAACAGTCCTGCAGCAGAAGTTGCCTCTAATGGGGTGAAAGTCTGGTTTTGTTCTATTTCATTAGCGTATTCCTCTTAGCTGAGTTCATAGGCAGTGGAGAATGTGGAGGAGTTTTGTGTGTGAACACACAATGAATCTCATCCTAAATTTGCAACATCTGCCTGTTTATTTCATAAGCCCATCTCACCACCAAGCAGCCACAAATTGAGATCAGATACCTACCTGAGGTTTCTACTATCATTTCTGCAGAAGCAGGATGTCCACCCCTAAGGCAACTCTGACATGTGGCCATCCACCACCTCCCATGGCTGCCTACTCTTACGGTCAGGAATTTCTTCCTAATGTTCTGTCTAAATTTCTTCTGTTCTAATTTGGATCCTCTATGTCAAGTTCAATTAACAGTAACTTCATGGCAAAGAATTCCTGGCCTACCTCTTGCTGTGCTCTGCTCCCCATCGGGACAAGCCAACTTGTGCATACCTGTGGGAGCAATGCCCACAGGAAAGCTGATCTCTGTGCCAAGGACAGTGGTTCTTGTATCCATCACAGACATATTCCTCAGCAAGCGTGGCCGGAAGTAGATTCTGTTGGAAGAAGCAGATGCCAGAAGAAATCAGTACTTCCAGTAAAAGCCCAAAGAACCTTGAAAGGTTATCTTTTTATATATTAAACTGCTCCGAATAGTGCTTTTGTACTAATAGGGAGGTACTGTATATGAATTGAATTGAATGAATGAATGAATGAATGAATGAAAGAATGAATGAAACAAAAACCCCTTATCCATCCCTGACAAGCAGACTGCTCAGCAGGGAGAACATGCTGTACAGTATTTGTTTTTTCGTGCTACCTGAGAGAATACAGTAGAGGGGCCAGCAGCATTCCTATTATCTCTCCTATGTCTGTCCAGCATTCTTCCAGCATGTGGAATGACAACATCAGGTGCTTCCTACAAAAATGGCATCTCCCAGTGTTTCAGGCATGGGTGGGGAGAGTGGGAGCAGGATGGAAATGAGGACCAAACTGTAGCATACAGATAGCACATCATTAGAAGAGAGAATTGCACATGTGGCAACACTATCTGATTGTCACCAGCAGAAGTTCTCATACCTCCTGTAGTTCTCAGACAGCTTGCTGAACACCGTTGTTCAGTGTTCATCAGAAGCTTTATTTGGAAGTACAATTAGCCATTCATAAAGGTCTGCCTGAAATCTATGTCTGGAACACTAATGGATTTCAGCTTCAAATGATGGGCTATTTGTAATGTATAGTTTAACTCAGAAAGAAAAAAGACGTGAACAGTGCAAAAGGAGGAGAAAGTTTCTGCCTGTGCTGTTTCGACTGTGTTTCACTCATTGTTTTTTGTTTTTTGTTTTCATTTTCTCTCCAGAATTCTTTGGATCTCAGGGCAATTTTTAAAATAAAAACATATTGTGTAGTACCATACAAACAATGTATCTGTCAATGTCTCTGTCATTTATATGAGTATTCATAAATAGTTAATTCTTACAGCTATGTATATAATCAGGTAATTTTTATACAGTCTTAGAGTCTATTCCAAAAATGTATTTAAATGTGTGTGTGTGTGTGTTTTTTTTTTTTTTTTAAACATAAGCCACTAGAGGACACGTTTTTTTCTTTTTCTTTTTTAACAAACACAAACAGACATACAAAACAAACACAAACATACATGCGGGGAGAATATTTTCCATATATCCATCTAGCATGTAGAACTAACTACATAAACCATATAGGTTTAAGTTTGTATATTAGACCACTAGTTCTTAACCTTGGGTTACTCAGGAGTTTTGGACTGCAACTCCCAGAAGCCTTCACCACCAGCTGTCCTGACTGGGGTTTCTGGGAGTTGCAGTTCAAAAGCATCCGAGTAACAAAGGTTAAGAACCACTGTATTAGACAATATATGTATGTTAATCTTTATGGTTTATGTAGTCATAATTATATATATTAGCCTAAATATGTTTAGTAGGGCAATATGGTTCAAGTTTTTTTTCAGTTAAAAAACAATTTTAAAATTGGTAATTAATTTTGTTAGCAAAGCAAACATCCACTGCTTCAACTTTTTCTTAAAAATTTAAATATGCATCGGGAATGCAAAGTCTGGCAAAGAAGCTCAAAAACACGCTGACTGTAATGTGGTTGGTATAGGCAGAAACCTCCAATGCTGGCACAACTGCCCTTGAACTCATTAATCTCAGATCTGCTGGCACAATCAGCTGGCAGAAGAGCCAAAGAACAGGCGGAGAAGGGGAAGAGTGGAGAAAGAGCTGAATTACACCAGATCCAAGCTTGTCCTAGACCACAGACGCAGCCACAATGCCAGCAGGCCAAAGTCAGGGCAATCCTAAGTAATTTCCAGTATTCCTAGCCTGGGAGGGGTATGAATTCAGCACAGCTTCGTCTGGTTTAGTATCAGCCCTGGAGATGGGCACAAACCAGCACAGTGGCGCTTCATGATGGTTCATGGATTGTGGGTTTCCGTAACCACAAACCATGAATCGGGCCTTTTAATAAAAAAACGAACCAGTTCATGGTCCCTTTGGTTCGGGCCCATCTCTAAATGAAGAGGAGCTTTCTGTGTAGCTCAGGCCTGGAGCAAGGCAAGGTTGGTGCTTTGGTTTATGAAGAGGGGCTTTCAGGGGGAGGGCACGAAGCAAAATGAAACACCAATCATGAAGAAGTTCAGTATTTCATTTCGCTTTGCGATTACCTGAACTGCCCACGAAATGAACCACAAACCAGCCCAGTTCATGGGTCATTTTCTTTCTTTCTTTGTTTCCTGGTTTGTTTCGTGACCATCTCTGATCAGCACAGCCAGCCCTCAGCCTTCCTGGCTAGTTCTTACTGAACGCCTGCCTGTTGGCCGTCATGGATTAGGTCTCTAAAAATGTTCCAAACTCTGGGGAAAAGGATATGAAAGGAAAGCAGTAGCTGATGGTTGTTTTGGTGTAGCTACAGTTTTGTTTTTATAAATATGCCGATACAGTTCCAAACACTAAATTCGGAATGAAGGATTAATAAATCATTAAAATAAACTTAGTGGGAATATGAAAATAAGTATGGTATATATTTTAATTTCTCTCTCCCTGCCCCCTTTCCTCTTTTTCTCTGGGGTTAAAAAAATATCTTCAAAATTTCTGGAGATGTTGTATCTCTAATTGTCACATATACTTTTATGAGAAGTGGCAGGCTACAGCCACCCCAGCTGGGGAGAGACAGAATCATAGGTTCTGCCTCCATCTTGCTATATTAAGCTTCTTTTTCCAGATCCCATTTCTGTCCTGAAAGATACCAGACCAGTCACTTTTGGCCAAGTTGAGTGAAGTTTGTTGTGGCTCTAATGCTATGGAGTGAGATTACACCAGGGCCTTGATGTGAACAGTCTGAATATCAGTTACAACATGAATGCTAACCACTGGTCCTTTAAACCACCCACAGGTTTTCTATCATACCTTTTAAAGGCTGCAAGGTTGTCATCTCGAGTACAGCATTCATCAGCACCAGCGGCAAAGAAATCCCAAACAGCCTTTGGGAGATGTTTTTTAGCATAAGCCTCAAAGTCTGACAAACAGACTAGCATCATTTCAGAGCAAGGTGAGAGGAGCCTGGGAAGAAAAGAGAGAGAGGATAAATCTAACAAGTGCAGGTAGCAAACGAGAGTTCTGAAGTAGACTGTTGGGGAAAAGTAAGCTAAACAACATTTAATTTTGCAATTCTCGAAGTAGGCTGGAATGGCTAGTCTTCTATAAAATTATATACTGGCTTTCATTTAAAATACTTTCCCCCCTCAAAAAAAAAACCCCACAAACCAGTTACAGCCCCCAAACTACCACTTGTCTCTGTGCAATTGGAGTTGATTGTGTCATTGCCATGATGTTCTGATGAACTCTACCCAGCCACACGGACCAGTGATCACTGCACACAAAAGACCAGCTGATGACACCCATCAATTTCAGTGACAGATCATCTCTTCCCCTTATCACAACAACACGCCCACAACAAAAAAAAAACCACGCTGATCACCATAATCACCCAATCTCCTGTAAAGGACAAAAGCTGATCCCACAGCTATAAATATTCAACTATCCCACAAAACCGCACCAGAGCACAGACAGGGTTCTGACTCCTGTCCTCTGAATTTGCCTTCAGAACACGGCCAAACAGCCCGAAAAACCTACAATAACCATAGGATCCCGGCTGTGAAAGCCTTCGAGAATACAACCCAAGATAGCCTAAAATTTTAAAATAAACAATTAAGGGTGTGATCAGAACAGCAATAAAGGATTGTGTCATGGAAAATGGGTGGGCTGGGTTCATAATCCCCTGTATGTTGTCCAGTTGCCAGAAATAGTTTGCACTGGACCATACCAAAAGCAGTCTAAAACAAAGGGCACTTCTCTTATCTGATTACCCCCTAAATGAATAACTCAAAACCCCATTGCTTACTGTAGTAAGTCACTCTAGGGTGATTCACTCAGTCGGTCGGGATTTGGAGACTTAACTGCATGAGTTCCGTTTATTCAAATGGGCCTAATCTAGTTACGACTTACTTTAGTAAGACCCATTTAAATCTATGAAACCTATGGAGGCACTGATTCACCACATGTCCACTGATTCAATGGGCCTGCTCTAACGTGACATATTATGCTACGCAACCAGATTTCCAGTCAATATCGAGTTAAATAAAAACTGTTTGAAACAGTTTTCAGAAACACATTAAAAGTACAAAATATTTCATTTAAAAGCTTCCTCCCTGGGCAACCAGTTACTGGGGGCACAGGGGAAACTGCCTCAATAAAAAAGTCTTGGCCTTCCTCCCTGGGCAACCAGTTACTGGGGGGCAGAGGGGAAACTGCCTCAATAAAAAAAAGTCTTGGTCCCTTGGCAGACAGACAGCAAAGAGGGTGTCTCCCGTAGGAGGGAGTTCCATAGTTTGGGAGCAACAACAAGGAAGGCCTTCTCTCATATCCTCTGAGGGCCTGATCTCCTGTGGCAAAAGAACACCAAGTTCTATTGATTCTTTCCATACCTCTGTTGTACTTGATATATTTATTTCCATGGTCATATGGTATATATTCTGGCGGGAACGTTCCCAACTGATGCTGTTGATACTCAAGTTTATACTAGTGTACAAGGTGTGCAGTCTACTCAACGTGTACTGATATTGTCTGTATTTGGTAATACAGTATTTCCTTGCCCATTCACTTGCAAGGTATGTCACCGCAGTGCTTTGCCACCTTCCTGGAAAATCTGAGAAAAGTATGCTTTTGGCCATTTTCTGGGTACATGCTCAGAAGGAAGGAAGCTCTTAGGAGCAATACTTTGTGACTGACACTTGCCCTTGTTTCTTTTTTGTATTTTTTTTCTCTGTGTACTGTTGGCCCCAGTTTTCCATTAATGCTTTCAAAGTGGCTGACAAAAAGGATCATTGGGCAAAGAACAATATAATCACTTCTGAATAAAGGCATTGCAATAATAAGAGATGTCATAATGGAGACCTGGAGAGCTGGATTTAGCCTTCCCCTTGGCTGCTGTCATTCAAAGGCATTTCAGTGGCAGTGCTGAGACAGTGTTTGGCCTCCCTCTTGAGCTCCTGGCGCTTCATGATCTTAGCTGAACTGTCTGCACAGTTCGAACAAACACAGAAGGACTGCGAACAAACTGAAGTTATGGGGGAGTGACGTTGGCAAGATGTAGAACACACCGTTGCACATTTTGAGATATGGATTAAAAGCCTAGAGAACTGAATACTATGTGGGAAAGGGCTGTGTGCATAATCCATGACATTGGGTTTATTGTTTTTTTCTGATTTAGGAGTCAGGTATACAGGAATCACTTTCCCTATTATGAGGTTCCCCCAAATAAAGATTGGTTCACACATGTTGGCATCACCTAAGTGCATTGGAGTCAATTAAGTTGTTCAATGGCCAGGCAAACATTCAATTCAAAGAACTGTGATGTATTGTATATAGATGTATGAATCAGGCTACAGATCATCATCATCATCATTTACCCATTTCATTCACCTCCCCACCATTGCGTCTATAGAAGGAACTTACTTTCAGAATTGAAGAATTAGCAATACCAGCTGCACCGTTTTGGTTCACCACAGATTTCAGTATGAAGCCTTGGCTGCTTCTTGGCTTGTGTCTGGGTTAGAGGAGACAAAGACATGCTAGATATTTAATCAATTACTGCAAGAGCTTAAAGCTTAACTTTCCCGTAAACTTTGTACTGTTTGTGCTCTTCTGAATGTGCTTTGATAATGAAACTGTCTCTCTAGTTAATATATGAATTGCAGGTACCATCACTCTGGCAGTTTTACTAGAGATAGCGGCATGTCAGAAACCAGCCTAAAGGCCATCTTCTGCCTTACAGAAGGCAAACCACAATAGTTTCAGAAGTATTTGCTAGGGTATAAGTAGGATACTGTATCTGTAGAATCCATGGGGATGGGTGGAGGGGAAGCAAACATTTCACAATATTGCTTCCTTTTCAATCTCCTTTCATGAGAGATATACAGTATTGAAAATCGGCATGTATTTTCAAAACACACAATTTATTTATGCACTGGCATCATTGTAGGATCAGGTCAACAGCTCAAATATAATATTGTAGCATGATACATTGTGGATCCGGGCAAGAAAACCTGGAGCACTTCCCGGCCAGTCACAAAAACACACATCACGGTCTACTGTTTGACAGTTTATGGAATGTTAAATTGAAGAGGGATATAAAAAGGCCACAGCTTGGATTGATTGCATCAGAAAAGTATTGACATAGCATGAATCCCAGCACTGGGTGATCTGCCTGCCTCTGACGGCCACCTTCCCGGACTGTTGCGGGGTAGCCAAAGATTGAAAGTCAAAAGTGGATGTGCATCTACTGGGCACAAGACCAGTAAGAGGAGACTCACTGGTACCAGATGTGGTAGACTTTGGCAGTCCCCCCCATCAGCCCCCTACTCCTTGATCCCCATGGGAAGAGGATCCTTGCCTGGGAGATCATTGGACACCAGAACAATTGCATGCCTGGTTTGTTGCTCTGCGGCTGGGACAAGCAACGGGCGCTCACTCCATCGCGTGGATTCGATCTTACGACTGCTTGGTCTTCTGACCTTGCAGTACAGAGGCTTCTGCGGTTTAGCCCGCAGCGCCACCACGTCCCTCGGGATCCTTGGACACCAGAACAATCATAGGCCTGGTTTGTTGCTCTGCATTGAGATGCTCCTTTGCGTTCCAATTTTAATCATAGTTACTAAAAACCTCAATACAGCATGTCATGGTCTTTCCCTTCTTCAAAAGTGAGCCCGTCTAGGCACTGTCTGGAGCCTACCTGCTGCCATTTGTTAGTGCATAAACCCAGCAGCTGTGCTTCTGCAAGGCTGGAGGTTAACAGGAGGGTCCTGAGGCAGAGGCTTGAGGTGCCAGCAGAACTGCTCTTGTGTTGGCTGATGCAGGTCGGTGGGCCCCTTGAGTTTCAAGTTTGTAGTTCCCAGCAAGAATTTTATTTATTTATTTTTATTTTTTTGGAACTGGAACACTGGGCAAATGGTTCCAGCAGTTACAAAGTTGATAATAATACTACTGGTTTATTTGTAAACAATCTTGCTGATAAGGACAGACAATGGGTATAACAGAGAATAGATAAAACAGCCCTAGTCTGGTTGATTGTAAATAGCCTACAGGGGGAAAAAATAAACCAACAGAAGTCCATCAACAGATGAAAACAGAGAAATAAAGTATCAAAATAGACCATGCCAGCTTCTCCTTTAGCTCTCTGCCAAGCAACTTGTGTCTCTCCCCTCCCCCTTCTCCTGGGCTGAGATGCATTGTTTCAATCTTCTTGTCTTCTTTTCATCTGATTTTACTCTTAAACCTCCTCTTTCTTATGAGGACCAATTCCCCCAGGGTCCACATGCACTTTTAATCTGTCACTAGCTCACAACAAGGGCAAGTAAGACTGGCAGGTTGGCACCCTTACCTCTTTCTATTGCAATTGAGGTCACATCTACTTTACAGATCTTTTAGTATAAATGCACTTTCCTGGCAAAAGTAAGGAATGACAGTGCCCAACCTTCTTCCTTGTAATTGAAAAGTAATACATTTCAGGCAACACCATAACTTGTAAGACTACATCACAACTTGAAAACTCTTAACTTAATGCATGAAATCATCTCTCCTTTTTTGCTGATCATTGCCTTCTATATCTATGGGCTTAGTACATATCATTTCTGCTTGCAGCTGGTGGCTTTGGTACATAGATAGCCTGCAACTTGGTACGTCGTGTTCTCCAGTACCTCTGATAACCTATAATTTCAATGGTCATACCACACCTTACTGCTTGGTGATGTTAGCCTGCCCTAGATAGTCTCAGTCAGAGCCCCTATACTCAGCACTGTGTACACTGGCTGCCTTGGCAATCCCCACACTATGTCCGGGGCGCATTCATTAGAAGCACAGGATAGCTGCCTTTGATCTTGTGAAGCAAAACACATCCACATTCTATGAGGCAATTCTAAAAATGGGGCAGCCCAAACAAAAATTTGTAACTTTGAAACTGCACCAAATCAAATTTGGCACAATCATAGCAGACTGGATGTTCTTGCTCTGTGCCAAACTCATGACCATTTGGAAAAAAGGGCTTTCAAGTTACAAGTTATTAAAGGTAGAACTGTTGTCCCCTGTTCAGAAATAGGCACACCCCAGCTGCCTCAGATTCAAAATAGATCACATAAACTGAAAACACCAGTTTTGCTTAACTTGAAATTGACTTGTTGGCCCTGCCCACTTTTCTTTATTTAGAAAGAATCTGGGCTGTAAGGAGTGAAATATTGATCCTCAGAAAAGGTCTTTCAAATGGGAGAAACAGTGGCTTCATATAAACACCGAGCATGTATGGTCCAGGGAGAAGTGCAGCAAAGGCTACATTGTAGCTAACTGGCTCCACCTTGTCAAGCTTGTCTCCGTCTTTGTTCCTCTCTCTCCTATGAAGAGGGGTTTTTTTGCCTTGTTTTGGTCCTATTCTCTCTCTCGTTTCCTTATTGACTCAATCCATCTCATGTTACGTCTTTCTCTCTTCCTACTGTCCCCAACACTTCCCAGATACATTATCTTTCCCGGTAATTTCAGCCTATACGTGCAAGAAACAGTAGTCTCATTTTTTGCTTGTGCACTCCCTTACCTGTGTTTTTTTTGGTTTTGGGCATGGTATCTGGAAGGTTCTTCTCCAACACCACATTTCAAATGAGTTGATTCCCCCCCCCTCCATCTCTCTTCATTGTCTTTTGCATAGTATGGGTGATTTTGACCTTGGCTTTCAGTAACAATATTTGCTAACTCCCAGCCTTTTATTTCAAAAGACAAGTTCATGGACCCTGTGGTTGGGGACATCTTTTGGAAAATATGCATGCACAGCTTTTGGGCCTACATGGTTTTTCTTCCTCATGTTTCCTATCTTAAAGAAAGGGTTTGGAAACTGGACAATAGCTACCAGGCCTGCATTCTGCAGAGAAGGGATGACAGCATTACCGTGTTTCCCCCAAAATAAGACAGGGTTATATATTAATTTTTGCTCCAAAAATGCATTAGGGCTTATTTTCAGGGGATGTTTTATTTTACAGTTATGTCATCTTCTAGTTGCTGTACAATGCTGCACAATGGTGGAGGTGGGATTTCACTTAACTGGGGCTTATTTTGGGGGTAGGGTTTATATTACGAGCATCCTGAAAAATCATACTAGGTCTTATTTTCAGATGATGTTTTGTTTTACAGTTATATCTTCTGATTGCTGCACAATGGTGGAGGGTGGGGTTTCACTTAAATGGGGCTTATTTTTGAAGTAGGGTTTATATTACAAGCATCTTGAAAAATCATACTAGGTCTTATTTTCAGGGAAACAGGATACTTTACCGGAGACATTAAAGGGTGTGCACGTTTCTCTGTTGTACATGTTGCACTCACTCAGATCTTTGCTTCACTATTTCATTAATGGGCCCCATTTGAAGGGCACCATTTCATAACAGCCCTTTAAAGCATTTCAGTACACAGAGACTACAGCCATATGCCAGCTGTTTGTGGTCCTGCCTCTTCCCAGTACCCACAATATATATAATGTGATCATCTTCTGGGATCCTCTAGCACTGGGTAATTCTGTCTGAGGGATGTTGCTATTGGAATTTTGGTGTAGTGTAGGCATATTTAAAATTCCAGTTTTAAAAGCTGAAAATTTCATTTTAACCTGCCTCTTCCCAGTACCCACAATATATAATGTGATCCTCTAGCACTGGGTAATTCTGTCTGAGGGATGTTGCTATTGGAATTTTGGTGTAGTGTAGGCATATTTAAAATTCCAGTTTTAAAAGCTGAAAAATTCATTTTAAAAAAAACCTCTCCAGTTTATGAATGTGTTATATTGTGTTTCTGTATCCATGATTTAAAATGCCAAGAAATGGCCTGATATTCCTGTGTAATGTTCTACCTGCACTGCCAGCAGGAACATTGGTGTTCTCAACATTCAGGCTGCCAAACTTTACATAGTATAGTGCAGCTTGAATGTTGAGAACACCAATGTCAGCACTCAAGATGGTCTACAGCAGTGGTTCCCAGCCTTGGGTAACCCAAGTGTTCTTGGACTGCAACTCTCAGAAGTCTTCACCACTAGTTGTCCTGGCCAGGGTTTCTGGGAGCTGCAGTTTAAGAACACCTGGGTTATCCAAGGTTGGGAACCCACCCTCTTGTGCTTACTACCATTCACAAAGAGACATCAAGCAGGGGAAAATCCCAGAACCCGAGTCCTTTTCTCATCAGTTAACTGCTTCTCACCCAGATACACAGCAATTGTCACAACTGTTTTTCAACAGGTTCTGTAGGTATTTGTTGCTTGGAAAATATGCGTGATCATCAAATGCTGTGATGAAGCCTTTCAAAGACCCGGAAGTATGCTTCCCCCAGCGTCCAGCATTTTCGAGCAAATTTCTGGAAGTTCTCTAGGTATTTGTTGCTTGGAAAATATGCATGATCTGTGATGAAGCCTCTCAAAGACCCAGAAGTATGCTTCCCCCAGCATCCATCATTTTCGAGCAAATTTCTGAAAGGAAGAGATGCTGCGAATGTTGGTCTCAGAGGCACAGTCAAAGAGACAAAACA